AGCAACACGAGAGACAGAAGAGAATGGTGAGAAAAAAATAAAGTATAAGAGATAAAAAAAAATATAAGACATAAGAAGAGAGAAGAGAGAAACGATGTAAAGATGAAATAAAAAAAATTAAAAAAAAATTAAATTATTACTTTTTAAAATTTTCATTTAAACAAAATATTTTACCTTAGAATACTTAAAATTCTTAAAAAATTATTTCATTTAAAGTTTCTAGCACTCTAATTTTTCCTGAGTTTAACAAAACATGGCGAAAGAAAAAATGAAACAATAGAAAAATAGTCATACATGATGGTGAATACACCGAATCTTCCACTCCTTTGCCAAGGGTTGTTTCTTCAATAATAAAAACGGAAGGCACCAGGCTAAAAAGTAGTAGAAATGGTCTTCTAATGCATTCTAAAAAAAAAAAATTCCTATGAAAAAAAACTCCAAATTTATTTATAAGAAATTCATTACGAAACACGAATTCTTAATAATAAAAAACTTTCACATTATTTCTTAAAAATTACAAATGTTAATTATATTACAAGATATTTTAGTCTTTGAAAAGGGATCGGTATGAGTAACATTTGCAAATTTTAAAACTAAGGTACAATTTATTATATTTAAGGATTAATATGTCTCTTAACAAAAATTTTAAGCCAAAATTAAGTGAATATTTATTTTTCCTACACGAAGTTAAAATTAAGTATAAATATAAAATAAACAATACAAGAAATATGATATATAATACATTTAAAAAATATAACTAAAAATACAATATATGTAACTATAAATACAATACATATAATTATAAATTTATTTGACATATATTTACACATAATTTTAATATTAATTTTAAATGAGATTTATTAACATATTTTATATATTACTATAGTTTATACTTACATTTTTTTTATAATATATTAACATATATAATATCTATAGTGTAATTAAAATTAATTTTTAATAATAAATATTGTGGCATTATAATTTATAGGTGTGTCTCTACATATGTCATTATATAATTTATAAAGCATTAACAAATTGGTTCTGTAGTTCAATGGTTAGTGACTTTGTGTAATGGTTATCAAGTAAGAAGGTTTTCCTACCCACTCAATGTCCCTCTTTTTTTCTTAATAATGTCTTGCATTTGAGAAATATTTATTATTTTCTGTACTAAATATGAAAAGTTTTTATTCCTATATTACTTTTGTAATAATGTTAAAACATTGTTTGAATCGAACGCTAAGTTTGAAAGATTTATTTACATTTGATCTTTTACGGTTCAATGGGAAGGCCAATGTGCGTAAAGTGAGTATATGCCTTTCTTCTTAGTGTTATTTACATGCGAACTTTCATCAATGTGTATAGTGTAAATCTACGTCGAAAGTCAAATCCGAAATCATGAGTTCATTATGCAACAGATTGTAGCAGACACGGAATGTGGAATTAAAATATCAAACTCAACAAAGCAACACAACACAATCCATAGAGAATGTGAAAAAGCATGAAACGGAAGTCAAAACAAGCTGATGAAATTGCTACGTTTTTAAAGTCAGAAATCACAGCATGAAGCTGTCCTCTTGTTGGGTCAGCAAAGATTTCAAGTTCAAGTTCTTGTGTTCTGTGCACTGTCTATCCCTTTCGTGTCAGTTAGGACTTAGGAACCTTTGAAGACACAAATTCGTTAAATATCAAAAGCCTTTCTAGTAATTGAACTTCCCTTTTGCCATTTTAAACATCTTTGCAATCATCTTCCTTAGGGACAGGCTAAGATGAAGCCCAAAAGCAGCTCTGGAAGATTCTGGTGATTTGAAGCCAACCCAAAATCAGGACAAGTTGTACTATTCGGCAACACCGAGGTCCCTTTTTAATCTACCCAAATTGGCTTCACAATTTTGCTTTTTTTTTTTTTATAAAAAAAAATATTATTAGAGACAATCTTATTTATTTAAATGATATTATTATAAGCTGACAAAATTTTCATTCAAATATTTAATGTAAAGATATATCCAAAACTTGAACTCAGAATTACTAATTAAATCAGAAGGATTCTTTATCTACATGTTTGGAGGTTTTTTGCCATTTTTTTTGTTGAATTTAAAATATTTCATAACCAAAAGCTAGAATTAATTTTCAAGATATTATCTACTGATATTCATTGAAGGGTCGATAAATACTCTTCTATACATAAAGACTTGAAGTTTAAATATTGGATTTCTACTGAAACCATGCCACATGGTTGCCTTTAGGTATTTATTTAAAGAGGGTAGTTCTTCCTTCCGTATCACTGTCAAAAGTTCCTTATAAATTAATTGCTGTTAGGTGTACCAAGGTTGAGGGCTTAAGCTGCATTGTATATTTCCCTAAACTTCCAAAGTGCAAAAACAATAAATATGGGCATGGAAAGCCATTGCACAACTCGTAGTTGCATTTGGAGGATGGCTTGTTAAAGAATGTTACCTAACTATAGGATACAAGTTTTGACAAAAGCAAATGAAATGAACACACGAGGCTATTCCCCTTGCCAGAAATGGATGAGCGGAGGATTCTGTTCTGATTGTGCCATTCAAGAAACTGAAGTTGCAAACATAATGATGGCGCTAAACATTGTTGACCCTAGAGAAAATTGATGACAACATTAACAACCATATAATATAATCACCAAAGCTTAAAACAACTGTATAATCATGTGTTTACTTTTCCCGGGAAAAGTTTCTAGATAATCCAACAAAAATATTAAATCAAGAACAAAAGGAAAATGAAAGATTTAACATCTTGAAGTGATCGATGATAGAGAGTTCTATAGCTAGAAGGTCAATGTAATAACGTAAGCCGCCAAAAACAAGAGGAAAAATATCCCTAGAAGATTTCAACAGGTTAGAAATTTCTGTTGGAGGAGTGTCTCAATTATTGTCCCCTGTGGCAGAATTTTAAAATCAAGACCCTTTTCTGGTTGAAGAAACTTGGAAATGTGGACACGGAGTGCAATCTCAAGAGGCATTTTGACTAGCAGGTCATTTACGGAATTATTTCTTTATAAATTTGCATACAAGTAATGATTTCATCCACCTTTTTCTGTTGGGCTAGTTTGGTGTTACATTTATCTATAGCTCTTGGAAGTTATACCAAGGAAACTTTATTCTGCCAGCATTTCCGGACATTAGCAGGCCCCCCAAAAGCTCATTTTGACTTAAAAATGAACAAAATTCAAGTGTTAATATCTTAAGTAATGATACATAGACATGTATCTATACTTCTTTCTCTATTTCTCATTACGTGTCTATACACAAATTTTCGAATATCTTAAGATGTTTTTTGTGTTTCTTTTTTCCAATTAAAAATTAGAACTTTATCTCGATAAATAACTTCTTGTGGACTTTCAACACCATCTTTATTACACAAGCTGTGAGACTAAAAATTTCATGTTAATCAGAGAATAACACAAAAGCAAGACATTGCACTTAAGTTTTGTCTTAATAAACTTCTCCTGTTTAAACTTTATTTGTGTGTGCTTTCCTCCACATTATGGAGATTTCTGGGCCAGACAATGTTTTGGTCGTATTAGGGAGACGTCTTAAACATATTGAATAACTTGGATTTTTGATAATGAACTTGATGGGGAAAATCCATCAAGAAGAGTTGTGTCCACAGGAATATGGCGGTACAAACTTCTCTTAGCTGGATCACACATGTGTTCCAACTTATCTGATACAATTTAATTTCTCATGTGTGTGTGATGTGTCCAAGACGCGTCTACCTAAAAGTCTAAATAAAAAAGTTTAAATAACGCAATATTGGATTTATCTCAATTTCATTTTGAATCAAGTGACATTGGATGTTTTTGTTTAAAGTTCTAAATAGTAATATAAAAACATAGACAAGTCCTGCAGTGAGGGTTTGAGTTCTGAAGTTTCAACACTGGTTTCTATCTACGAAAGGAACAATTATGTGTTGAGAACTACTGTTTAACATTTGAAGAGCTAGAACAATATTTGTATGTTTACTTTATTGGAAGGTAGGCTCGATTATGGTTTGTTTATGTATATTAATATTAATACATAATATTAATATACACACACAGAGACATGTTGCATTTAAAATATGATCAGATCTATTGCCACATATTGGTACATTATTACATTCTAAGAAAGCACAATACTTGAGGGTCTGATGCAATGTGACAAAGTAGATGAACAAAAGGCTACATTAATACAAATCTTTGTGACTTTTATTATGTTCCTCTTTTACTTTGGTACAAAATCTACTCTCATCTCTTTGTATATATGCTTATACCTTTAAACGACTTTTCTTGTTAAACTTGCGAGTCAAGTTTGGCATATTGCTGTTGTGTGATGGATCCCCATCAAAGTCCATCACTAACTTCTCTTTACCCTAGTGGCAAGCAAAAGGGAAATCCTTTACTTGAGAGCGGAGTATAAACTCAAGGTCAAAACCTTCAAAAGAATCAAAACCGATCAGAAATTCAGAATATCATAACTTTGATTATAACACCAATAAGGGTATAATGTGCCTCCAATTTCAGTACTACTTTTGTTCGTCTCAGTTAGCTACCTAAGTAGGTAAAAAGGGTGTACTTTGCTTTAACCATGCTTTGGTGGTCAAGTTTTTCGCCTTCTAATAAATCAAAGACAATTTTAATTAGGTGTTTTATAATGCATTTTCCAAAGTAGATTGATTGATAATGTACCAAAAAAAAAGTAGATTGATTAATCCCAATGCAAGGACAGATGACTCATAAACGAACAACATGCAGACGAAGTTTCAATTTGTCAAACAAAAAAACTATATTTTAATTATATGCATGAATGATTCTTGATGGAAACAGCTCCTACTACTAAACGAAAATCCTACGTGTGAAAAGCAAGTTAGGAGTAGTGTAGAAAGTGGACTCCAAATCATGTGAGCAAAGAAAGAATCTCCTCAACGGCCAAATAAAAGAAGAAGAAGAAAAAAGAATCTCTTCTGAAACTTACGTATATAATAAGGACCCCATGAAAAAATAATGCATGGGCATATCAAAAACTTTAGCCATCTGTCTCTCTCTCTCTCGTTCTCTTTTTTTTCTCTTCCCTACCTCCCAACCCTTCCCCTGTCTGCCATATATACATATAAAGTTGAGGGGAATGTCATCTGGTTCGAGATCATCCATGCAAGTAGTCTCAGACAATACACTTCTGGATGATTTCGGACCAGGCTTCATTCCCCTCAGCAATCAAGCAGGCACTATTTTCTTCCTCTAGTATATAAATACACAACTTTTTTTTTTCTTTTTCTTTAGGCTGTCTCCTTGTGATGTTGTGTGACTTGTGTCCTTGAACAAGTCCTCAGGCAATTGAAGATCAAAGATTGAAGAAAATGGTTATGGAGGATTAATTGGTTATTGTATAAGCTTTCAGGTGGTTATGACTCAATTTCAAGTTCTTACATTTCATCTACTGCTTATGTTGTTCATATTCATGTTGGTTTGGTTTGTTGATAAACTTTTGTTGAGATTTTTGTTGTCTTTCGGACCTGAACAGCATAATAAGTTTGTTCTTGCTTGTGTTCTGTGGGGGTAACAATCTCTTCAATCTGCTCCTGAATCATAACATCTCTTTTGTTCATGCCAAACTAGTTCTATCAGGTGAGGAAGTTACCCTTTGTGGTTCCAAAGAACTAAAACTACAGAATCAGAAAGATGAGAGAAGAAAGGCAAGTGGATTTGATTTATTCAATGTGCTCCTTAGTTGCTGTAATCCGGTAACTGATATAATGAGAAGACTATCACACGATTCCTCATAACTTTTTATTGTTATCCTTCAATAATCACATGGAAAAGCACACGCCATAAGACACAAATATCAAAGGGTAGGCTCTGTTGAGATCACAATCATGAGTGATTTCCAGCATAAAGCTTAACCTCACCTTGTCATTTCAATCTAATTCATCTTTAGGTAATACTGATTTAGGTAAATAAATTATTAGCCGAATGATTGGATGCAACACTGTTACTCATCCAATCATTTGCCTCTGAATCTGATTGAGAGTCTTCTTGTTCAAAATCGTGAAAAATAGTAGGTGAAAAAATAGTTTTACTATAAGGTAATTCAAGGTGAGACATGACATAGCCAAACAGACAAGAAATAGCTAGCTTCAACTTAAATTAAATGACAAAAAATCTTCTGGATTCATATACTCTACCATTGATATAATCTATGGAAAGCAATTTTGTTCGAATTGGGAGAACTATTATAGGAAATAACTTTTTAGTTTTGAGTATTTGATGCAATTGCATACTCAATGCTCGAATTTGAAACTAGTAAGTTAGAAAAACTCAACGCTAGTTGATTCGTGCATTCTGTGGTCGAGAATATATAACTTACAACCCATAAAAGACGTACAAAAGTCACATGGCACAGAATATGTAATAGTTTTAGTATAACTAGTACTGTTCATCTAGTAGCTCAGTCTGCATGAGTCAATCCAGGGGCATTTTTGAGTCTTGACATCATCCTGTGCAGAAATTGCAGTTACAGGTGACAGGAACATGTAGACAGTAGAGTATGGATTGGGGTGTATCACTTGTTCATTCACTTGCACAAAAGGCAAAAAGAACAGTATATTGTTCTGGCATGTTTCACCTGTGATGGAAATAAAATCTGAAGCAGGTAAATCATACCTTTATGGCTTTATGAATTTGCAAAGTCGGTTGAAAACTACGTAAGAACAGACACTAGATAAGTTCTTGGCCAGGACAAAAAACCCTAGATAAGCCATGAATATGACTTGAAATGCCATTCATGATGAGCAGAAAATGAATGTAGCATCTTTCATACAAAGACTAGACTAAGAAAGATGGTTAAATAAATATTCTTGAAATTCTGCATTGTCTCTCAAAATTTACATATAGTTGTGTGTTGTGGTTAGAAACATGCTCAAATGTTATTATTGAAAAACATATAAAGAATTAATAATTAAAACCGAATTAACTGATTTAAATCTTGTCCTTTATATTCTGCATTGATAGAAGCAGACTTGAATCAAACATGTGAAAATTGACATTTTAATTAAAAATCATCAAACTGATCGCTAGAACCACTTTCTGAGTAGAACAGTTCTTAAACATACACATATACTCGATATTGTGCTCATATTAGTATCAGAACATGTTTTTGACCCCACACGCTTGCTGTAACCAAATGCTTTAGATTCATTTTTGTCATCATTTTATTTTGGTACAGATGAAATAAAAAGAACAGTTATAAACAGCCTTAAAAAAGAGGTCGTAGGGTCATTCCAATTCCCAAAGCAGACTCCAATGTTCATGCCATGATTGATTAATTACGGGAAGAGGTTCCATAGAATCAGATTCCAGATCACTTACCTAAGTCACCAAGCAAGTTCCAGCTAAAAGAGACTGCGGAAAGCTCAGATAACAAACTAAATGCTTCTTTGGCAGCTGAAAAGCTGGCATGCACATGCCATTAGCTCCACCTATTACGCCACCAACATCTAAACCCACTTTTTGCAGATTTCCCAACAACCAAACATTAACTTTCATCCAATTATCATGACTCAATAGAGAAGCTATCTAACAGCGGACAAACCACCTTTTCATGCCACAAATGTAAGATATTATTACATGGATCAGGATTATGCTGTTCCGACCAATCTTTATGTGACATGTTATTAACTCTTTTTCGTTAATCAAGAAATGTATTTAGTGTCATATAGAGATTGGTCGGGATCATTAATCTTGGTTCATACAACAATTTCTCCACAACTGCACCGTGCCTCACTATGGTCCTAGTGTGGCTCTATCTAGTCACTTCTTGTAGCCGTGTAGGCTTTTATGAATTTTCTCAAAGCTATTGCACCACACTCAAAAGTCAACACCTCATTGTTGCATTCCTTCCATAATGTCATGGCTGAAAACCATCCTCTATGTATGTGTATCACAGTATGCATATGCCCCTGGTGACAAATTTCTCTTTCTTAAAAAGTTCAAGATCTTTAAATGAATTATTTTCTTGGTAGAAACTACACAGAAGTGTATCACAAGTAACAGGTGGTCCTCTCCATTTCTAGAACCTATTTCTACACCTCTTCAAAAATCCAATTCTTACAAAACCTTTTATGGCATCAATCCTTTTAGAGATGTTTTAGAAATAGAATAACTGTCAAACAATTCAAGCTTCCTCCATGAACGTAACTCATTTAACTCAATGCTTTTCACATCCCAATGCCAAGTAAAAATAAATTAAGTAATTTAATTATGGTTTTTTCAGATGCCACTAATTTCATCTCCCGCCAATTTATAATTGCACAAGCTTCAATGTGTTCCGAGATTTTTTTTTTGGGTACAAAAATCAAACAGTAGCCGGTGGAAATTTTTTTATTAAGCAGTCTAAGACTACCAAGTATATAAGATTTTTTAATAAATGTATGTAAGATTTTTTACTTTTAAAGATAAATTAATTACATTTAATTATATCTCATATAAAAAAAAGCAGGATCACTTATAATATGGCCATACTAGCTGAGACAGTAGCACAACATTTAATGAATTACAATAGGGTTGCGCACATCACTTACACACACGCAAAATGTACGATAAGCCGTTGAAAGCACAGTGATTTTATTGTAGGGATTGGGTTTACATTAATTTAGGAACATTATGCAAATTGATTTTGTTCTACTCTCTCAATTATCTGTTTTGCCTCAAATTTAATTGGGCCAATGAAAAATCATCTGATGCACAGCACGCATGCCAGTTGATGCACTTTAAAGCAATTTTTAAGTTTTTTTACCTGGCTACTATTTATGGTAAACTGTTAATTTTTATAATAAATAGATAAAATTCATATAAAGAATAATACAAAATTAATTCACAATATAAAATTATTTTACACTCTAACCAGAAAACCATTAAACTCGTGTTAATGTTAAGTTCAGGAGATCATTTTCATTTGCACACTTGTTTTATCCGTACATAGACCAAAATTGAAGGGTAAAAGTTGCAATATACTCGTTTATTTTAAGTCACGTGTCGTTTTAATTAGATAAAAATTATTTTAGCTTTTTCTTTTTTACAACAAACATTATCACAAAATTTCCTATTTAATTAGATACAAATTGTTTATACCTTTTTTAATCATGCAACTGGTGTAAGACTTTAATTTAATGTAGAAATATAAAGTGGCCGACCTAAATATAAAACTGCTAAAGTTATTTTTAGATTCAAGATACAAGTTGAATTGTTGGAGTGTTTTTTTTTATATTTTTTTAAGTTTTATAGTAGTTTATTTTTAATTGAAATTAATTATATCAAGAAATTATGTTATTCATTATTTTGAAGAGTATCAAATTAAAGTTAAGGGAATAATAGAAAAATCAACTTCACAAGCAAATGTCAATGAGTTAAACTTGGACAATCTAAATATTAACATTTTTCTTAGTGATTATGATTCATTTGTGAATGACATAATTGAAACACAAGCAAAGTTTGAAATAGAACTTTACTTGAAATAAAAAATTTTGTATAGAAGTACTACTTTTGACTTTCTTGTATGATGAAAAAAAAATGGGATCAAGTATCTAATTTTGCAAAAAATTGTTAAAAATGTTTTGAAAATCTCAATTTCAATTGTAGCTTCAAAATTTTCATTTAGTTCAAGAGGTATGTTTTTGAGTTCTCATCGTTCTAGGCTTCATAAATTTACTCTGAAAACACTTATGTGTGTACAAAGTTGGTTGAAACACAAGCAATATATAATAAATAATTAAATTTTATTTATTTAATAAAAGTTGTTTTATTTTTTACTTTTGGTTTTAATTATTAATTTAAATTGTCTAATCATTCATTTTCTTGTTATATAGTTTTTATTAGTATTATTGGACCAAAATAATATATATACTTAGAAGTCAAACATTTGCAAAAATATAAAGAAATTGATTCTAAATATGAGGTAAAATGCCTACATATATTTTTTTTTTTGAAATTTATAGTATATAATTTAATCTATAATTTTAATATAACTAATTTTTGTACAATTTTTTTCACAAGTCATCAAGAATATTTTTAACACATGATCATGATGTTGGAAGTTTAATTACAATTTTTATTTTTATTTTTAAAGTTTATTTACAAGAACTAAATATTTTGTAATATTTATCTATAAGATTTGTCATGTTAGATTTTTGTAATGTTAAAAACCTGACAAATTAATATTATGCTTACTTGTATGAATTGTTATCTCTCTATTGATTTATTTACTTTATACATAAGAAAAATGTGAGTTATGGGTTTGGATATGAGTACATAACGGGTATAGAGATGAGGATTAAAATTGTTATCCGCATAGATATGGAGTTGGATATGAGTATTATTTTTAAATGCATACTATAGGACCCTACCTATTGTCATGATGGAAATACTAGGAGAAGTGAGGGATGTTCTTCTCCTTGGATTTGCCTAGGCTTGGATCTCTTCAAAGGAGACTTGAATCCGCAGCTATGAACACTTGAAGAAGAATGATTCTCGGTTGGAATAGGCTTAAGCCTTGGATGGAAGCATCCAAGCTTAAGGAGCAAAGGATTCCTCACTTCAAAGAGAAGGAAAAGATGAACTCTCCTATGTCTTTTGATGTGAGAAATTTCGGTGACTCTCAAGAGAAAATTGGGCTGAATAAGCTCTCCAATTTTATTAATCTCAAAAGTGAATACAAAAATGTGAAGGGAGGACTTAAGTATGCACGGAAATGAAGCACATAGGCACCTAAACCAAAGCTAC